CTAAACTCTTTTAACTAAAGAGCCGCAGATTGCCGACCCCTGGTATAGTTTAAAAAAGAAATTATTTTTATAATACATATCGGTTGAAAATTGACATTATAAAATAATTTCCCATATCGTTGTTGTTCACAAAGGTACAATCATCTTTAAACATTACATAAACACAAAGGAACTATAAACAAAAAAAAAAGAAGAATAATAATAATAATAAAGGAAAATGAGATGCCTTTTTTTTATGGAACAAAATGAATTGACAATCGATTTGCAAGAAAAAAAAAATAAAAAAAAAAAAATAATACAATTGTTAACGTGTTCAAATCAATGCACAAATGAATACATTTCTACATATATGATCATAGTCCACAAAGGAAATGCGTCAAATATATATGTATATATATATATATTACATTATTATTATTATAAACAAATACACATAGCTTTGATGAGTTATTATTCATTATATTGTACAAAATGAATTGAACCAGTTAAACTTGCTAACTTAATATGTTTGTTTGTTTTTTTTATTATTATTATAAAATTTAGCAAATCTATAGTAAAATTTAATAAAAAAAATTTCAAATTACTGTCCCTGTGATAGATCATTTTTCTATTTTTCTTTATATATGTATATAATTTGTTGTTATCATTGTATTTTCAATAAGATTAATTCTTATTTTTTGTTTTGTTTTTTTCTATCTTTCTTTCTTTCTTTCTTTCTTTCTTTCTTTCTTTCTTTCGTATGATCTATAGATACATACATACATATATCTAAAGATTTACGATTGATTTTTGTAATTTAACTTAGAAATTATGCATGGCGGATACAATCTAAGAAATACCCTGAAATAGACAAGCATCTGCAATCATAGAGATATTACAGATAGAGGAAACAAACCATAGACGGCGGTTGTGTAAATGGAAATGTCTCTCTGCATGAATTATAGCAGCAAAAAACGAAAGGTTAATGTTGTCTCTCTCTCTCTCTTTCTCTCTCTCTCTCTCTCTAACTCATGCGGTACACAAAAGACTGGCAAGTTAGAGAAAGAGACAACATCAATCTCCTATCTTCTATCTCTTTTTATTTCGCCGACAGGTTTTAATGCTGGCTTGTTTGTTTGCTCTATGTGTAGCATCTCTATGATCTGCAATACGTACGTAAATATTATTAATAAGCTGTACAAAATAAGAATACATGAAATAATGATTACTTAAATAATGATTCAATATATTGCAGGTGACATTTTAATATTAGAAAATCATTTTTAAATAAAATTTAAAAATGATACTAATAATAATACGACGAACTAAACGTTACTTTTCAACCTCATTATATTAGTATTGTTTGGTTGAGATGCAATAGTAATCTCACTGACTTCATCTGTTTCCGATTGACTCGAAGAATCCGTACCATCATGTATTCCTTTTCTCTGAATAATAATTCAATATATTATATTATAAATATAATAAAAAAAAAAAAAGAATATTTGAAATTAGTTAAAAACCCTTTGCACTCGAATGGCGCCGAATCAGCGCCCGATGGTTGATTTCAAGTCTTTTGTTATTCTATATCTGCTTATTATTTATGATATTTGATAAGTGCAAAGGGTTAATAATGTAAAATATAGTTTCTCAATGAATGTGTGATAATAAATACAAATTATACCTTTTGTGAATGATGAATATTACGAAGGACCCTTTGAACATCGGGATTACTTTCTAATGTAGAGGATTGACTGGACGGAGGGTGTGAATATTCTGAAGTATTCTCCTCGTCAGAGGCCAATACTCCTTCTATTCTAAGGGTTGCTTGCTTAAATCTTCTTAATCTAGAGCCTGGCCCAATTGGCCTTCTTGCAATACTACAAATATGCAAAAACACATATTTGTATTATTAACTTTTGAGATGTCACATATTACAACATAAGCACAACAACACATATTTGCCTTTTATCATCTAAAAAAATATATATAATTGACTTGAAAATAATTAAATTAAATATATATATACCTTCTACGTCTAAGAGAAAAATTATAACTATAATTAGGGTCTTCGCCTTCTTCGTCTGACCAACTTTCGTCACAAGCATCATCCTCGTGATTGCATAGAGTATTTACAAATTCCGAACATGATCTCATTCTATTCTCTGATTGTTCCTGTGATATATTTAATGTACTAGCAACAGAACAATAGTTCACTGGCAGTTTTGTAGTCTCGTCTTTACCTCTACTAAAAAATACAAAAACCAAACATTCATATATAATAAATGAAATTAAAAATGAATACTTAAACACAACCCCACCATGTCACCGAGCTGGCTACACTCAACAGATGATGCAGTAATAATAAATGTGATTAAAATGTACCTGTGTGATTTAATTACTTCATCACAATTCCCATTATCTATGGGAGAAATAAGACGATTAGCATTTATAATTTCTGTCACTTTTCTTCCAAGAGTCTCAAGATTATCATCGTCACTGCAATCTGCCAATCGTTCGTTTCCATTCGTATTATTATCTTGCTCATGATCTGGACTAGAACAAGAACTTGACTGCATTTTACAATGAGTTTCACGTAATATTGGATTTCCATTGAAATATTCTATAGTATTTTCAACCATTGACTTTTTATCGATACCATCGATTGAACATTTTTCTGTAGTATCAATTGAATCTTTAATTGAATCCATTAAATCTCCACTTATATCCGTCATATCTGTTTGAGTCTGATTATCAACGAGTCTTGCCACTATTTCATTACTCTAAAATAAATTGATACACACCTTCACTAATCCTATATTATGATACTTTCTTTCTATATATTTTTTTTTTTTTGGTTTTCAAATATAATAAAATTATTTAGACAGGTTAGACATGTTTTGATGATACATTTATATAATCAAAATATTATAATATAAAAATATATTATATATATAATAATATAAATGAAATTATTAAAATGTTTACCTTTCTTTCACGAAGAGGACTGGACTTAGGACTACAACTGGCTCCACAACCAGACCCAACCCTTCTGTGTCTATATTTCCATTGTTTAAAATTATTAATATTCGATGCTAGTACAGTTTCTGGTTGGTTGGCTTCATTCAACTGTGTAAGAGTAGTTACTTTAGGAGGACTTAATGGATAATCGACAGGAGATGTTGGTGTTGTAGTAGTCGATGAAGTTGAAAATTGTATCGTTGGATTTCTTCTACGATATAATCTTTCTTGTGCTTTCAAAAGTGGATGTACTATACGTTTCTTGCATTGTTTATATCCTGATTGCTGTTCTCTTCTATAAATATATAATATAAACAAGAAGATACAAAGTGTTTGAATAATTTAATGTTAATTGTTTTTAAGTATAATGATTGTTAATATATCTCACTTTATTACGTCTCGTTCACGCTGTTCCAATTGTAATAATACAGCGCTTAGTTCTAAATAAAGATTATTAGTACGTTCGAGTTTACGTTCATAATGTTCTCTTATATCTTGAGCATGCCTTAATTCATCTTCTCTTCGTCTAATTAAATCAGCTTCAAATCTAGGACTACTTGAGCTATTCGATTGCATTTGTTTCATATGAACTCTTATTTCTTTTTTCCAAGATAGCTACACATTATAAAAAAAAACAATTAATATATATATACTTTAATTAATTAATATTATATTAAATAAGATGTTTATTTTATTTACTTGAGTTTTAAAATAATCATCAGCTTTTGTACAAAGCACTTCTACAGCTGCAATTCCAAGATGAATTTCAATATGTTTGAAGGAAGGTCTATTACGAGGTTTAGCTGCCCAACATTGTTTAACTAATAATCTATATCCTTCAGGACAACTTGCTGGAATAGGTAAATGAAGAGAGTTGTTTCCTACACCCCAAATTATAGCCGATGAATCAACATCTTTGTAAGGTACTTCTCCGCTTAATAATTCCCAAAGTACAACGCCATATGACCATATATCAACCTTTTCAGAACAAGGTTCATTTCTAATTATTTCTGGAGCCATCCATGCAACAGTACCAGCAAAACTCATTCTGGTACTAATTTCATTCCATTCTCTGCTTGTTCCAAAATCACTTATTTTCACTACTTCACCATGACCAATTAAAACACTATAAATAATATTTTATTAATAAAAATATATATAAGGTTACAATGTTAACACGTTCCATGTGCCAAGCTACGTTTTATCTGACTTGTGTCATTCATGCCATTTAATTTTGTTTGAACAAAATCAACCATTACATGTAATTATTAATTATTGTTAATATAACAATTATAAACAAACTTATGTGTTTTATTCTATACTGCATTTTGTATAATACATCAATATTTTAATAACACTTAGCCGACCGATCGGGGAGATCTCCCATATTGATTTTAGCACACAACACGTTTCTTTTTCTTCTTTAATTAATTTACATAGTTTAATTTATGATATTAAAATTATTAACCGAATATCAGTCCACATCACTTGCGAAACCCCTCCATGGTGGAAACCGTACAGTTCGCTACAGCGCGTGTGATCGGCTAAGTGTTCAAAGAAATATTCTTTTACAGAATTCAATTTGTTATAAACATATATTATCAACGCATTAAATAAACCATTGGTGGTGGTACACATGGCATGGAACGTGTTAAATTAATTGAATATTAAAATATTACTTTGGACTTTTGAGATCTCGATGAATAATTTTATGTGCATGAAGATAAGCCATCCCTGCTGCAATTTGTTTCGACCAAGATACTAATCTTGAAGGAGGGACTGGTTCCCCATCCCTTAATAAATCGTATAAAGGTCCATATGGGCAATACTCCATAATTATACAATAGCATGGTGCTTGTGTACACACTCCCCTATCAAATTTTAATATAAAAAGATATTAAAAAATTGCAATTATTACACATGATACAAAGTATTGTTATTTAATGAATAAACTTACTTAAATTGTACTATATTCGGATGATTTAATTTTCGTAAATGCCGTATATCAGTCTCACGTGGTTCCCTTACTTTCTTAACAGCTACTACCTCTTTGTTCAATTTTCCACTAAAAACTGCACCCTGAGCTCCAGAACCCAACCATTTGAGTTCACTAATTGATTCAAATGGTATTTCCCAATCATCAGCTAGAAAAACAAACCACAACATTTAATTTATATAATGATAAAGAATTAATTATAATATATTCTATATATATAAAAGAAAAGTGTTACATAAACATAGGTCATTTAATTAAAACTTCATTAAAATATTATGACACAAGTTGTCTTGTTAAAAATCAAATAATACACACTTTGGTGTCCTTTTATTTTTTCATTAACAGCAGCCTTCGATAGCATAGTCCAAACAGGTCGCATACATCCTAAGATTCCTTCGACCCAGCTTGATCTTTGAGCATCTAAAGAAACTGATCCTGAAGTACATTTCGTTGGAAATTCACTGCTATTACTGTTGCTATCCAAATTCGTTTGATTACTGTCGTTTATTTGTATTTTTGTGTCGTTTATGATTGGACCTCCTGCGATTCCGCTTAGTTGACCCAACTCTTCTTGAATACATAGCATGCTAAAGAAAAGACATATAAACATAAAAAAACAATTAATAATCACATCAGTATAAAATATTATTATTCAAAACACGTTTACTAAATAAGAAATGAGATATACTCTCTCTCTCTCTCTCTATTGTATTTTCAATCAATGAAAAATAAATTCTAACAGAAAATGCACAGCATGAGAGAATTTCTAGGAATACAATGTTGTTTTTTTTTTTTTTCAGAGATTGTTAAAAGTTGTACATACCATCATTATCTTACACATACTCGTTTACGCACGTCACGTTTATCATGACGTCGTCATACAAATCGCGTGCACGTACTCTTGTGTACTACTCAGGCACGAGACACTCTTTCTCTCTCTCTCTCTCTCTCTCTCTTTCTTATATACGCAATAATAATCATTAAATAATACCACACATTATGTGTGTATATAACAAAACAATTCAATCACACATATATTAAATTAATTTGAATAAAAAAAAAAAAGTGTCTGATGAAATACAGAAAGAAAATAAACAACAAATAACTATCGACGAACTTTATTGACATAGCAAACGATACGATAGGGATTTTTTGAAGTGTCTTATCTGAGATGTTACCGTGTTTTGTAGTACGTGTAGGTTAATTTGTAGAAACGTGTATAAAGACGTCACATTTCATTTTTATTCGATAAATTGAGAATTAATATCCCATTGTTCGATGCACATTTTGATATATGTTAATTGTCAAAAAACATTGAATTGATTGATTTTTCAAGCACGTACTCAAAATACTGTCTGTCAAAATTTTATTATCAAGCTCACCTCTTTGTATCAACGTTCTTAGGTACATCAGCGGAGGTTACTACGTCAGGCTGTACTTGCACTTTCTTGGAAAAAAATCTCGCGATACCCATCGTGTTTTTATTCGTGATAAGTGCATCAATAAAGAAAATAACCTATATTTTATTTGTACTTATTTCAATATGAAAAATAACACCTTGCGACGATCCTGTCTCTTCACGCACTTGACGAAAGGAATTTATAGATACGGACGAGATAATATGTAAGAAATACACTGTATATATAAGATTAACGCCATATACATACAAACACGACAAATCGTGAAATATAATAACATAATTTACCGATAGAGGGCTAACATTCATTATCTATCTCTCTCTGTTACATATCACATAATTATAGTTTGATTTACAATGAATCACGTGACACCGTGTTTATTAGATTTGTGGCGCGAAAATTTGAAATGCAATTAATTTGATTTACTAAGTATACCAATATTTATCTTTATTTTGAAAATAATATTTAATGTTATAGAAACAGGATATATATGTTTTAGATAATATTAATTATAAAAAAAAAGAAAAGAAATAATACATACAGAATCTATCTCTCTCTGTTACATAATATACGTACACATAATTAAAGTTTATTAGATTTGTGGCGCGAAAATTTGAATTGTAATTAATTTGATTTACAAAATATACCAATATTTATCTTAATATTAAATGTTATAGAAATATAGGATATATATGTTTTAGATAATATTAATTATAAAAAAAAGAAAAGGAATAATATATACAGAATTATATTAAATTTATCCTATTTATTACAATTTTCAAAATAATAAATAATATTAAAAGAAATAATAAAGTATTCTTTATGAAATAATCTTGTCAATTATTTTATTCATTTTAAAACTTGAATTAATATTTCTCACCTATTTGTAAATATGTGTGTCTCTGGATGAGAAGTGGATAAGATGACTTGGCTCACTTCGGATGAAGTGACCGGTTCCTGAGACCCAAGATTTAACATCCCAGGTTGAGGTAATTTCTCGGTTTCAGCAGGAGTATGCATTGTCTACGAGTTTTAATTCTAATCCTGAAAAATAATTACAACATTCTAATTAATGGAAAACATTGAAAACAATTTAAATGTATGATTGATATTCCTTTAAACTTATCTTTTGATATTTACAATTATTACAATTTTTCTTTGCAATTATATTTTGTATACATTCACAATTTTGATAAAAATAACATAATTTATATAAATATTTGTGAATTGACATTTGTACACTTTTTAGATAAAAATTCAAATAATTATTTCAATTAAATGAATATAATTTATCCAAATTTATGTAGAATTTTGATTCTTTGCAATTATATTATGTACATAGTCATAATTTTGATTTAAAAAAACAATAATTTATATAAATATTTTTGAAAATACATTTATACAGTTTTTAGATCAAAATTCAAATAATTATTTCAATTAAATTAATACAATTTATCTAAATTTATGTAGAATTTTGATTCTTTACAATTATATTATGTACATAGTCATAATTTTGATAAAAAAAAAAAAAACAATAATTTATATAAATATTTTTGAAAATACATTTATACAGATTTTAGATCAAAATTCAAATAATTATTTGAATTAAATGAATACAATTTATCTAAATTTATGTAGAATTTTGATATACATATATATACAATTATTGTTATTTTGTTTATAAATGTAAATTAATAATTGTTATTTTAAATGCATCTACATATTAAAAATATTCGTCTATTTTTCGCAATAATAAATTGTAATAATGAAAACATGTTTTTATTATCAAAGAACATAATGTGCATTCAACATCCCATGCATTGAAATCACTCGATAAGGCCGGTGATCGCAATGCGAAGCTTACTCGTTAAATTTAACCTCATCAAACCCAACCCTAAAACCTTCTTTCCATTATTACACTATATATATATATATATATAAAAAAAAACCTCATCATCTTTTTTTTTTAATCATTAATCGTCAATTTAATTTTACGATTGGGCCAGGTGATATAAAAAGAAATAAATGACTACTTATAAGTGTTATCATTAAAAATTGAAAATCATAAAAGAATTGTCAACCCTTAAAAAATTATCCTTTGTTGTGTATTGAACGTCAGCCATTTTAAAATAGTCTTGAATTTCGATCTATCGATCCTTCAATCGATTATCAACAGAAAATCACTGTAAACTCCGATATTTCAAATTAATATCTGTAAATTAAATGAAAGAATGATTATTATCAAATTGAATTGTAAAAAAGTTGAATTTAAAAAAAAAAAAACGAATATGACAACAACAATACAAACAAACTGGAAATTGTGTGTGTGTGTTAAATATTTAAATAGTTCTCTAATACATAACAAGAAAAAGTAAAAAAAAAAATAAAAAGATACATAATTATTCGGATAAGATAAAAATTCAAATATCTACAAAAATGTAAAAAAAAAAAATAAAATAAAATAAAATAAAATGAAATTTGTTCGGGAAAGGTTGAACGCGTAACCTGGTCAAGGTACATTCGAAGAATGAAAAACATTGGCATCGCATGGCATCGACCCCTTCCGAGTACCGAACGACTTACGATGGACGAATCAGCGGTCTCGTGGGAGGGCAAAAAAACAAGTCAAGAAATAAGGGGGAGAGAGAGAGAGAGAGAGAGAGAAAAGAAAAAAAAGAAAAAGAAAAAGAAGAAAGAAAGGGGAACGCGTTGTTGAGGGAGTGAGAGCGCAAGCGGGTACGCGCGCGCAAGTGTGGTGTTCTATCTGTGCGTGTGACGGGGACGCTTGCTTTATCGATTCGACGACGAGTTTAATGCCCAATCCATCCCTTTCTTTTTTTTTTTTACTCTCTCTTTGTCTCTCTCTCTCTCTCACTCTTTCTCTCTCTATCTATCTCTATCTTTTTATTATTTATTTTTTTTAAAATATTATTCCTTACCTGTACAGCAGACATCACTTCTTGTCGAGATGATAATAATAATATTTCTTGAATCATTTTATGGATCGCTTTTTTATCAACGTCCCAATGACAGACGTTGTTTTTGCGATCCATTACGATTTATGTTAGGATCCTTTGGCAGCAACAGCAACAGCAGCAGACATTCGTTGTCCTGTTTTTTTTTTTTCCCTTTGTATCCTTGTCCCTTGTTTCTTCGACAAATTTATCTACTTCTTTCTAACCTTCGTAATAATATTATACAAATAACGCACTTATCTTCGAATATATAAACTTCTTCTTCATTCTGAATTAACACTAATCACACACAATCATAATCATTAACTTTGATTGAACTAATAGAATTATTATTATTTCTGTTGACAGTCATTAAAGACACGCGCCATGAAAATCTCGACGCTACGAGGACGAAGCGCGACGCATACGCGTCCAACCAGTACTGAACAAAATGGCGCGATTATTTTGCATACATTTAACACTAGAGTGCGCCACTTGTATTCTTATAACTACAACTCTTTGTTATGACGTATATTTCGAGTATTTCGTAAATACACGTTTACATTAATGCGACAAAAATAAAGGTATCATGCTTTATTATTGTTTATTTCTCATTGGTTAATTATTCATTATTATTATTAGAATAATTTGATTTTTAAACATTTACAATTTATTTCATATTCTTCCTTCAATGACATTTCCATTCAAATGACATTATTTTTATGACATACTTGTTAAGATTTGTTTTTTGTTTTTTTTTTTAATTTTATTAATAATATTAATTAATTATTATTAAATTTAATATTAATTTTTTGTTCATTAAGTTATTTTAAGTTATTTTCTTCTTATCAATCTTTAAACCTTTCGGTTGTAACAGTGCAGTGTCATCAGCCTTCCTTTGAGATTATATGGGAAACGTTATCTTATTTTTGTACAAGTTCAATTTATTTTGATAGATTATTCTTGATGGGGATTTGAGTATTATAAAAGAGCCACACATTACTGTTCAACGTCCATATCTTACAATTACTTTTGTCATCGTAGTCTTGAAACTAATCAATTTTACAAGTTTCGTTTTGTCAGTAGAAAAGTGCAGTTCTTTTAAAATATACTTCAATTTCGTTGAAATTTCTGCAACAATGCTCAAGGTAATTATATTATCGATATTTATTAATAACAATTGATAACAATCAAGGTCATTATAATCAATTATGTCACATGCTTTAAAAATGCTAGTTATTATACGTGGTGATGCTTTTCAAATTGATTAAGTAATTTTTATTTGAAAGTATATTTTTGTTTAAACATGTTTATACACAATTATTCATTTTAATAAATACACATAATCGTATAAAATGTATTATAGTAAAGCATTAGTTTAGCACCAAGTTTGTTGTCGCATCAATGACTTAAATGTATAAAGAGTAAGCTGTAACAAATTGACATTAAAGATTAAATTCTATAATATTTATATTTTAAATGTAATTGTTTCTCTTGATGTATATAAATTAATGGAATAAATGTATTCAATTAAAAAAAAAAAAAAAAACATTTTACAGAATACAGTAGCATTAATAACCGGTGGAGCCTCTGGCCTTGGTCGTGGCACAGTTTTAAGATTTGTCAGAGAAGGTGCAAAAGTTGTCATTGCGGATCTTCCTGCTTCAAAAGGTCAAGAGCTTGCTGATCAATTGGAAAAGAAAGCTATTTTTGTACCAACTGATGTAAGACATTAAAAAGTTAAATTTACGTTCATTTGATTACATTATAGAATATGATTATCATTTTGTATTTTTTGTAATATTAATTTGATACGAATATTTTGTCTAGGTCACTTCGGAAGGAGATGTATCGAACGCTTTGGAAGCAGCTAAGAGTAATTTTGGCAAGTTAACTGCAGTTGTTAATGCAGCAGGAATAGCAATCGCTTATAAGACATATAATTTTAATAAAAATCTACCACATGAATATCATGATTTTGAGAAAGTACTTAAAGTAAACACAATTGGAACTTTCAATGTAATAAGATTAGCCGTTGGTGTTATCGGTAAGAATACACCTAATGAAGATGGTGAACGTGGAGTTGTGATCAATACTGCAAGTGTCGCAGCGTACGATGGACAAATAGGACAAGCTGCATACTCTGCCAGTAAAGCTGCTATCGTTGGAATGACTTTACCAATCGCTCGTGATTTATCCAAACAAGGTATACGTGTTGTAACTATTGCACCTGGATTATTTGATACACCTTTATTATCATCTTTACCGGACAAAGTACGCAACATTTTGTGCAAAATCATACCTTTTCCTCAAAGATTAGGTAAACCTGACGAATATGCACAACTGGCACAACATATAATTGAAAATCCACTTCTAAATGGAGAAACAATAAGATTGGATGGTGCTCTTAGAATGCCATCTTAAATCTAATAGTAAGATTCATTTTTTTATATTCAAACATGCTATTTATAAGTAAAAGGTGCATGTTGGAAAGGGCTACTATAATAACCATTTTATGATATATATATATTATGTATATATACATCTATAAACATGTTAAATAAAACAATTGTCTCTTATACATGCAACACCATTGTATTCTCTTATAATGTACATGAACCACCAAAAGATTTTCTATTACAGGTATCGACAATTCTTTTTGTTACCTTACAACTGTACATAGATGCCTCGCAAATTGCAAAAGTCGCAACTTCTTGGTTTACATATGTTACTAGAGTGTTGCCTAGCAAAAGATTTGTGTACGTTGTATTAACATAAAAATCTTCGGTTGTTTGGTTAATTCATTAGTCTTTTTTCCCAATAACCTCGGGAGATTTCCAAAACTCCAACAAATGCTGGAACTTGTTCTGATGATTCTTTGGAAGAGCCCATTTATTCGTTAAGGCAGGATAGTCGGTATCATCTCCGAGGTATAGTCATTCCTAGGCATTCGATTCTTTTAAATTTTGAAGCTTTTCTAGTTGGTCAGGTTGTAATTCGTCGGGAATACTTGCCCTCCCACCGCAAACTACCTTTTCAAGTATAATTGCTATCTCTTCAGCTTCCTGTGCATCTATCACAGTGCCTCGCGACGGAATTGACTGAGAATTATCTGCCGTACTCGGACCGGACGTTGAATCTGCTTCGCTACCAGAACTACTACTCAATGGAAATGGCGCCGAATCGGCTGGCAAATCATCGATCGTTGATTTCTCTTCTATATCCTCGGGAACTTCTGTAACTTCAGTAACTTCAGTAACTTCAGTAACTTCAGTAACCTCAGTAACTTCATCATGTTCGTTCATAATGACAGTTGCTTCTTTGCAGTCGCTTTCATTGATATCTGGGGTAACGCTTGACGGCAAATCCGCTTCAGAACTTCCGTCAGAAACTTCTGTTGATTTAACTGTATCATCTGTGTTCTCATTTACACCAGGAAATGGATGTTCAACTTCTTCCATTGGAGTTGCCGCTGTAATAACAATTTGTGCTACACCCAAACCAAACTCTTCCTTGCCATTTTCTCCAGTATTCTCCGTAACTTTTTCCGATAATTGTTTCTCGTTTTCGCCAGTAGTTGTCTGTTGATACAACAAACAAAACAATAAACAAATTGGTCGCGTTAACGCATTCAATAATTTATAATAATGTTTACGTAATTATCTGAAATAATTGTCTACATTTGAATTTCTTTTTGTTTTAATTTCAATATCTTTACCTTACCTTATCATCCACATCTTCGGATACTTCCACAACTAGGATTGCAAGATTCGAATAAATCAAATTGTATTTTTACATAATTCTTGTTAAATATACGAGTCAAAATGTAATACAATTTGTTAAATATTTATTTCTTACCTACTATCCCTGGTGCTGCTTCGGTTGTTTCGTCCTCATCAAATTGCGAACCATAATGTTCCTTTTGACCTCTCGTTAAATTTATTGCAAAACCACTTTGTTCTTCGTTTTCTTCAACTTTGCCATCGGTAAGTTCTACATTAATAAATAATATCACAAATATCTCATTCCAATATTAATTAAAAAAAAGATATCAAAAATGAAATCCAACAGAAGTATACCATTAGCGATAAATTGTGCGGCTTCTTGTTCCAGCAAGAATTCCGGCACTTCGGGTGGTGTAAAGACAGGTGGAGCAGAACTAGGGGGTGTCATATCGTCCTAAAATTAAAAAATAAAATGGTCAAACTTGTATCATTAAATATTAGATTCATTTATTATTTGAGTTATTGATTTTCAAACCTGAGGAGTCAAAGGTGAACCATCAGGGGCACATGGTTCGACAACGAGAGATGGGAATAATCCTCGGGATCCTCGTAGTTCTCCTTCCCACCAGCCATCATCAACATCATGGGGTTCTTTCCTAAGTACTTTGACGATATCACCTTCAAGAAAGCTAAGTTCTTCCTCGCAAGTTGCATCGTAATCGTAAAGAGCGATACAATATTGTTCAAGATCTACAACTATTGATTATTTGATTAGATACAATTAATTTATATATTTTTTGTTTAAATATAATAATTTACCATTTATATGATTCTGCACAATGGCCTCCGGTTGTTGTTGTTGTTGTTGTTGTTCTGTAGCAGGTTGCAAATTAGCATCAGGATCAACAGCATCATGATCATCAATAGTATAATCAACAGAAGAGAATGAAATTTGTTGGACAAGGCCTGGTCCTTGAGAAGAAAGACCAGACGTTGTATCCTGTTCTCTTTCAACATCCAAATAATTTTGTGGTACGTAACCCTCTTCCCCGCGATAATTTCGAGCCCTCAACCAACCATCTCCGTCACCTTCGCCAACAACATCGAGTTGTTCGCTTTCGACAATCGACAACTCGTCTGGGTTTTGTGCCTAACGACAGGATTAATATTCTAATTAAAAACAAATATATAGAAGGGATTATTGTTACATCAAATAATTTATTCACCGTGTACGAATATAGTGCGGTGCATTTGTATATTTGTTGAACAGGAGCAGGAGGTTCTTGAGATTCAACTTGTTCATCTTTTTCTTCATTTGCCCAATCAACAGATGTTGGGTCATCCCAACCAGCAGTTAACTGTTCTATCCGTTGTTTCTCTTGCTCAAGTAAAGCTAAAACATTAAAGTTAATAATAATTATTAATCTTCAAGTATCATTTATATATTTCAAGAGTTCATAATGATGATACCTACCATCAACTTCATCACTATCATGCCTCTGTCTTTCTTCTGCAACCTCTTCCTCTTGTTGCATTGCATTACGTGTACCCGGTCTTTCTACAGTTGTTAAATCACTACCACCATCACCATCACTATCGTAGAATGAATCAGAGGAAGGATTTTCCTGCTTAAAAATATTTTTTTATAAGACATAACAGCTCAATTATGATTCCATTTTGATGCAATTTTTTTTATCATTACCCCTGCACCAGATGCATCAGTCCTAACTGACAAAGAACTTGCAGATCTTGGCATGTCTTGGACACTCAACGTTTCAGCTTCTTGAAGCCATTCGTCGACGTTCACTAAATGACAAATTAATGAAAATTAATTTGCTTTTATAATCAATTAATTTTGTTGGTTCAGTTGAATAATGTTGAGTCTTTTTAAACTGACCTCCACCATGTCGGAGACATTCTATTCTTGCTTCTGCTTTCAATTTTGCAGTCTAATAATGAAAAATGTAAATATGTATATATATATRTGTGTATAAAAGATTAATAATTAATTAATAAATAATAATAAAAGGGCCTACCTCTGCTCGTCGAATACTATGTTTCAATTCATCTATTTTAGTATCTACGTCAGGCCCATTTGGATCACTAGGATCAGTCTATAAAATAAATTAATTATCATGTCTATGTTATTTTAATAATAATAATAATAATATTTAAATTATTATATTTTTTTAATATTTTAATATTTAACACGTTCCTTGCCAAGCCGTTTTTGCCCAACTTGTCGTACAGGCCATTTGATTTTCAGCGCATTAAATGAATATCTCTATACGTGTACCATTTATGGTACACATGGCCTGATGATCAAGTTTAACGTGTACCATAAAGGGTATACGTGGCATGGAACGTGTTAATTATTATATTTAACCCTTTAAGAAACAATTTTGGTTCAACGTGATACAACGTCACTTGAGTTAACTCGAGCGTGCAATTTAAGGGGTTAATTGTAATATTTAATTACTATATTTTAATTATTATAATAATAATTATAAATTTCTTGACCTTCTGTCCAGATTCTTTAAGCTGCTGAAGTACTTGTAATTTTCGATTATTTTCTCTTATACTAGCAACTTCACGAGCAATTCTCGTCGACCAGCGACGCGCTTCTTTACCCAAAGTAGTAGCAGCAGCATGATCAGCAGTTATCCTGTAATAAAATATAATTAAGTCAACGAATAACCTTATATCACCATCTATTATTAGAATCTTATCGAATTAACAGAGATAATCATGACTCTTTGTTAATAAACAAATAATTCGATTATAAATTGAGATATAAACTATCCTATCTTTCAATTTGGATGAAACTGCATAAAGTGTACAAAATTTGATTAAAATCGGTTCAGTAGTTTAGGAGTCCATTACGGACAAACAACGTGACACGTAATTTATATATATTAAGATAAGATATGAAAAATATTATTTGAATCAAAGTGTTATGATTTTTTTTAATGATACAAACCTTTCTACCGGATCACTATCGCAAGCTTCAAATTCATATTGTATGTGCTGCTTTAATACAGGATAATATAGGCAGCAGCATTGTATATTATATTCCCTAGTGAGCTATAAAAAAGTCGATATTAATTTAAAATCCTTTTTAGCATAATTTTCAACATACCCACATACACCTTTATAGGTAAATCCTTTACTGTAAATATTACATGGGTATAATATATATAAATGTAGCTTACATTGGATATTCCTAGAAGACCATACACTTAAATGCAATTAGTTAAGCATATATATATGCATACTATGTAATGTATATATATATATATATATATACATTTTTTACTTTATATATTGTATTTATATAGCAAGAGATGTTGTCTAAAAAATTGTTAATACTATTTATAGATTTATTTTCTAACGAAAAAGTAAAATAAAAAAAAAAAAACTAGTCAATAGAGTTTCTTGTTCATTGGCAAGGAAAGACGTTTAATGGATTAATCTTCTTCTTCTTTTTTTTTTTTTCTTTTCTTTCTAGTTTCAAAATAATATATTGAACGAGCACTTTATTAAATTAATTTTCTTCAAATATTTTTATTGTACACTTCTTCTTGTATTTTGGTCTCATAGAAATATCATCTATATATATATATATATAAGGATGTACGTATATATATATGGAATATTATGAAGTCTTACCTGTTGAGCTTGATCGCGAATTTTGCCAAAACTATTTTGCGTTGCAAGGCATGTTAAAAGTTCAGTGCGACCCATAAGAGTTAAATATTCAGCTACTTTATCATAAACGCCTTGTTCCAAATACTAAAAAAAAATTGATATACATAAAAACATTGTACATAAAAAGAAAATAAGAAGAAAGTATATATATATATATATGATAATTACTTACTTGCATAGTAGATTGTAAATCAACTACAAAATATCTATTTTGATGAGCATTGGCAGCAGCGAGACTAAGTAAATAATCATTGCGAGCTCCTGTTGATTTTTCTTCCAAAGCATCGCGTTTTGAGCTTACCTAATTAATAATAAAACAATTAGTATTAAACAGTTAACGTGTGACGAGACTGTGCGCAGAGTGCTCTCTGGTGTGTGTCGCGATAATCAAGCGATGACGGATATAGTCGTCAAACACAGAGTAAGTGGCGCTGTTTAAAATATTGGATATGTCAATAAGACGACTTTATTTTGGAAAATGAACAATTTTGTTAGTAATTGTAACAAACTTTTACGCATGACGGATATAGACGTCATAACGCAAGATTTTGCCACATCTCCATGACGAATATAATCGTCAAACACGCTTAACTGGTTAATCAATCACTTGTTGATTGATTGGTGAAATTGTTTTATTATTACCTTAGCACTATTTTTTTGCAGTGACGTTATTGACTGGAAGAAGGAACCCTTCTTTTTCTTTAATCTACAATATAATAATATAATAATAATAAGTATAATAAACAATTGTAATATATTTATAAATTAATTTAAAATGAAAAAATGTTATATACTTTTCTTCTATATCTTTCGCTTTATCTCGAACATCATGAGCACTGTGTTCCTCGTCGAAGTACAATTTTTTCGTTTTATCGACATCCTGTACACAGGCTTGTAACTCTTTTTGTACTATCAATAATTGGTCGATTGCCTAAAAGATAAATGAAAAATAAGGTCGTGTATTTACTCCGATAACACATCGTGTGTACATATATATATACACAGTGAATCATAGTATTCGTAGCCCCCATTGTAAATTTGAAATGTTTACTTGTAATATATTATAATACTAGGGGTGCCTCGCCACACGTTGCTGTAGCTCATAATCAGTCCGATACAAATGTTTTTAAGTCAATTGCAATTATAAATTGAGATATAAACTATCCTATTTTTCAAGTTGGATAAAACTGCACACAGTTTGCGCAATTTTTATTAAAATCGGTTCAGTAGTTGAGGTGTCCATTGCGGACAAACAACGTGACACATAATTTACATATATATTAAGATAATTAATATATTTAAGGATTATTTAAAAAAAAATTAATTACTGTAAAAGAGTATTTTATTAAACAAGAAGTTTAATTTTCATAAATGTGAACAAAATTGGTTTAGAAATTGTTGAATTATTTTAAAAGCATTTATAAAATTCAAAAGATGATGGTCAATACTATTAACAAAAATATTAAAATTGTATTTTTATTTTATTTTATGTCGAATATAAAATAATAAAAATGTTCTTCTGCAATATAAAATATATTTCTGTATAAAAAAAAAAACAAATTTGGTAAAACTTTACATTATAAATGATTTCAAATTGACAATGTTGGTGGCTAGGAATAATTTCTATGATTCCATTTCACGTACTTGTTTATAAATTTGTTAAAAAGTACCTTTTTCGAAATTTGCATTTTGTGCATTCTCAAACTTTTCGCATCGTCGGCGATTTTTTGTTGAAAAATTTCAACAGCTGCTAATCGTGCCTTAGCAAGTTTTTCATTTTCTTCCAGTACCGTTCTCCATACATTCCACATATTCCTAAAATGTATGATGGTATTTTTAACATATTTCATTTCATCTAATAAATAGTAAGAGTGTAACGTTATTGAAAAAATAAAAAAAAAACAGAAACACTGTACCATTTTTCTTCTACTCCTTCAACCTTGAGATCCGGAATGTTTGGTATCTTTTTATTCAAATATGCGGAAGATATCTTGAGCAATGCCTAAAATATTTTTACTATGATACTACGATACCAAAATCTTATTATAAATAAATCATTCGCACGTTTATTACATGTAAAAATGTACATTTCTTTTTTGTTTCATTTTACATGACAACAAAATATTTTCAATATTTTAAGCTTACCTCGGAATATGACTTTTCAATCGCGGATTTTTTAATTGTAAAATTACTGAAACAGTTTCATCTCATGATTATAAATTTAACACGTTGTCTAAACATTTAAAGCTTCATTTTTTTTTTTTTTATTTAATTTAATTAATTAACAATTTGTTGTTTTCATTTTTATTTTTTTTATTTTTTATTCTAACTCACCGAATATCTTCCAGCAAATCGCATTCATGTTGATTTTTCGCTTGCAATTTTGCAGCTTGTTCGGTGTGTACATTTTTAAGAAATTTTGCATAATTTCCCTGAAAGATCAATATATACATTGGTATAATTTAAAAATCAAAAAAAAAAAAAAAAAAGAGAAAAAAACTATTGTCGATAGTTTGAATATTTTATGTTTGAGAAACTATAAGTATAAGGACATATATATATATATATATATTGATTACGTAATAAAACCGATGATGTACTACATTTCCTAACTTTTCTTACATTCTTATATACTAACTAGATAATAGTTAGAGAGATTATAAGTAAAAGTTTTCATCGAGTAAAAAAATTCGAAAGAACAACTTTTATGATGAAAGAAAACTATTATAAATTGATTCAAAAAAAGAAAGAATACTTAATTTGTTCATTAATATTAAATAACTTCATTTCTAGCTCAACGAAAGTATTTGAAATTCTTTTATTCCGATAAAATGGTTCTCGTCCTTGTAAGCTAAAAATTGATTTCGGTTATAGATAGAACATAAGATCCAATACAATGATAATTTTTCTATTATAATTTCTAAGATATCAACGAATAATGTGTTGAGGTCCTACGAAAATGAAATAATCAGAGAACTGAATGATCATGTTATCATAGTAAGATCGAAACGTCGACAGGTGTGACGGGAGTGATAAAGTAAAGTGGGTCAGAAATTCGGGGTTTCGGAGGAGGAGGAGGGACGGATGGGTTGAGGTAGAATTGAGGGTACATTGAGGAAGGATTCAACAAAGGGTTGACGAATATAATGTTCTTTTTTTTCTTTCTGTTATTTATGTATCATCCGTTAACGCACGCAAAGGGTCTATCAACACGCAGGTTGAAGCCCCGTTTGATTTCATAACAGCGCATACCCCAGGCACCAGGGTCCTTGCCCTGATTATCTAAGAAAACTACGATCATTTGGCATAGATTTGTAAACGTGCGCCGAAGCATGCATTGATTTTCTCATCGTGGTGCCGTCGAGGCGCTGCTTACGTCGATTTTTGCGTACGCTGACGTCGAAGATCGATATACCGAGAGGATAGATAGAAAGGGTGAGAGAGGGTGAGATAACAAAAAAAAAAAAAAAAGAAATAAGAAAGAAATGAAAGATAAGACGATGACAATTCAAGAAACCTTTATCTATGGTTAACGAATAATTTTATTAGGAAAGATAAACGTAAAATGCTGAGTATGCGCAAGAACTAGGGAATCCGGTTAAGTTCATTGAGTAGGACGATGATGATAATAAAGGGTGAAGGTTGATCTTAAAAAGTAGACAAACATATATATATATATATACATACATAGATAGATAGAAGTACGTAGACATTTATAAAAAAAAAAAAGAATTGAATAAAATAAAATTAAAAAAAGATAAATGAAGATTATAATTTTGGAGAACAATTAAGCTTACTTTTCTAGGTGGTGGTTGCATGCTGCTGAACGAGCCGCCTAGTCTGCAACCCTCACTACCTGGCAGCCCGTTTCCACACCGTCCGCACGCACCGGAAGGTGGTGGCCCGTTGTTTTCGTACTTCTCTCGTCTGACAACAAATGCATTCACCCACCTTCGTCGATCGCGTACTCGTACGCTACTGATTTCTTGCCCTCGACTGTAGAAGGACCATTTATTGATCGCATCAGCGCCTGCGTTTCTTCGTTCGTTCCTCCACTACCTTCGAAAATTTCACCTCCTCCCGGCACGTTTTCGTATACCCATCAGAGTTCTATTCGTCGAACCAGATTCACTTCCGGTATTCCTTTAGGGGTTGTTGGTCCTCCTACGAGCTTATATTTTAATACCGACAGATACTCTACGCTCTTATCGACTTTTATTCTTTATAACTTTTGGTGAACGGAAGTGGAGAACGCGTATCGAGATCTGTCGATAATGTAGATTCCTATTATAGGAGAAATTTTTATTTATTTTTTTTGGTATGTTATAAATTCTTAAAAGATTATTAAGTAATTTAAAACTTATAGTATAATACATATGATTAAACTAAACTAGATTAATTATATATTAAGTATAACTTATATTTAATATAATAATAATTATTCATATATATATATTTTAAATTTAGAATACCTCTATGCTCTTCTTCTTCTTCTTCTTTTATTCTTCACTTGTTAACTTATAATAATTTAATAATTTACTTTTGCAGACCTTAACATTTAAATATAACATAAAAATTAATTTGGTTACTAAACAAAATGCAATTAAACTCAAAAGACATACATATTATTATTATTATTTTAATAATAATAAAATAATCTCACCCCAAAGAAGGTTTCTATTTGGAGAGGAAGGGCTTAGGTTTTCTTTAAAATGGTCGTAGAATGAGAAAATGTTCTTATCCAGAGAAACCTAAAGAAATAGTTCAAATAAAATACATAATTTAAAGAAATTCGAAAATATTATAGAGAAATCGTATTGTAAACTTTATTGATAGTACAAAATGGGAAAAGTTTATATCGATTTGAATCGAAAGAACGCGGTGTATTTATGAATAACACAATCAATTTCGCATATAAGAAACATACCTCGTATCATATATATATATATACAAAATACAAAAAATCACTGTCATAATGCATACGTCTTTTAAACTAGATCTTAAGAGCAAATCGAGTTTATCCAAGGACTATCCCACAAAGCGCCTTGGACATTGAACAGTCGTGTTTCAGAAAAACAGTGCTCCATCCATATATATATGTATATGAATGTGGGGAGAAGCGGTAGATAAAAAGAGGGGATTGGCTTGAATTTGAGTTTTCGATTCGAATGAAGAAAGAATCAAAAGAAGGAAGGAATGTTCATTCTTTAAAACACGTTGACGCAAATGACAGAGCTACAGTCATCTGATTTATTATATTAATTTAAAAAAGAAAAGGTAAATGTCATAATGATTTATTGTAAAACCAACAGCTCTAGTATAAAAACATTTGCTATCCTTTAATCCAACTTTTTATATCAATGAAAGAAGATTCCCAAAAAAAAAAAAAAAGAAATATATTTTGAAGGAAAGATTTAAATATCAAAATTGTGCGTCAATGTGTTAAAAAAATAAACATACGATTAACGGATAAGGTTCATGATAATTCATCGGGCGGTAAAGGTCCTTGGTCCTGATCGGCAGATAAGCCTATACCACCTTCAACGTCACCATCAGAACCCATCGGCAGTGCCACTTCTGGTTGAGGCATTGGTTCTGCTGCTTGTAAAAGTGCATTTATCGGATTTCCTCCGGCGTCTAATACCGGATCGGCAGTGGCTTCTGCGAGATTAGTTACTGATTTAGATTTTAAACATTGAAAATCAACATGACGACTTTTGGCCTCTTCCTTTTCCCAAGACATATGTATGAATGGTCTTTGAACGTAATTGTAAATAACTTCGGCACGACCGCCAGCCCTTCTTTTAACTTTTTCTTTATAAGTAGGATAACCCTCGATTCCTAAACGTATCTTTTTCAAGCCACGTTCTTTCATAACTTGTTTAGCTACGTCCCTATTTTCGATGTATTTGAAAAATCTATACATGGCGGTACTGTTAACGGCTATAAAAAGAAAATTATTTACAATTTTGGTTGTTTATTTTTGAAGTATTGGCGAAGGGGTGGGTTGTTCCACTTACTCTGAGAATATTCTTCTCCCATTTGTGGTGGATATTCTTCGTCCCAATCGACTATATCATCTTCCAATAAAACAACTATGTGACATTCTCTATCACCTCTACGTGCACTATTTACCATCAAAGGCAGCATTAAATCTTCTAAGAACCTTTCAAATTGGCAGCGAGCACCTTCGTTAGATAATTCATGTAATAATCCTCCTATAATAAAGCAGTTTAGAAAAAACAATCCAACAAGGCTACATTCTACTTATGACGATTAATTATTGAAATATTTTTTAAGTGATTAACTTACTTAAGTTTTGACACTTTACTGTACTTGCGTTAAATGGAACAAGAAGATAATCGCAAGCTTCACGTAATTCTTGTACAGTAACTGTAGGAGGACAACGTATTATTCCACCTTTGTAATATTCAAGAATAGCTTGAAACACCATAGCTGATATTCCATCGGCAACTTTGTATTCACCGCGTTCATTTGGCTGAGCATATTCTACTCCGGAACTAAACATTCTTCCTAACATTGTATTTGGGCGTGCAGTAAATAAAGCTGGGTCTATAACAAATCTAAAATGAATTTTTTTTATAAGTAATACATTTCATTTATTTATTTTATTCAATAATAATAATAATAATAATAATTAAAGTTTATAGTTTACCTTGTATTATCAACGATCAATGTTATTCGTTCATCACTACTTAGCGGAATACAAGCCTCTGTAGTTAAATTGCTGCATGGTATAATATCTCTACTTTGGTTTTGTTGACTCTTTCCAACCCCAACTCCAGAGCGGAGTCTAAAGAAATAAGAATTATATGTTATAATTGATTTCTTAAATAGAGAGTAATACAATACAACAACAATAAATTAGGATATAATAAACATATAAAGCATCATTGGGTACATAATAAAGTAGTAAATAAACCTACCTTATTGAATACAAGGTGTAGACTGTTTTAACATTAATATGAAAATGAAAGGAAATAGTTGATGCGTGATAACTATAAAAAAATTAGAAATAGAGAAAGATGTCTTTTGTTTGAATATACAATAAAATATGAAGAAGTGATATTATTATATCGATCAAAAAAAAAAAATAAGAAATGAATCTTGAAAACAAAACAAGCGCTACCAATGATCTCTATATTTTACCTTAGTGCATTACCTGCTCGATTGATTTATATTTGTGCCATGTCTGCTTGAATTATAATGGCAATGTGGATCGTTGCTTCCATCCTTCTGTACCAGACAAGGTTTTGGTTTGGACGAACCACCACAACTACATGCAAAACAACCACATTTCCTTACTAATTGCTACCAATGACAAGCATCGAGTGACATTTACTGATTTTTAAAACTAATTCAATAATGTTTCGTCGATAAAGATGTGATCTAAACACGTTTAAAGAAAATTTAACTAAGAATATATGAATATGTGGCGTGTGAATGATGGCTACATCATGCCGATGATAAAATGTTTTGCACAAAATGTATATATCTAAAAGACAAGCTTTTGCATGATGCAACTTCACACAGTGATGAGATTCTTTTTTTTTTTTTTTTTGCTCATAAATATATAAACAGTTAGTTACAAATTGTAATATAGTTTTATCATTGAATAAGTATAAATAGTTAAATGTATTTCTTTCAACGCTAGAATTTTGTCGAAATTTATAAATATATTTATATATATATTCTTATAATTGCAGATATGATTTTTTACAACTAATCTAGCATTGGATATGGATAAATAATTTGTTCATAATTTTAAAAAATGTGAGACATGCATATAACAAATTTAAAGTATTATAAATGTGCATGCTACAAATCTATTAAATATTATTATTTAAGAAATGAGATTATATAATCTACTGCTATTATCAATACATATATACATATATGTATATTTTTATATATTATATATATGTACATATATTTCATATTGAAATCTCAAATATTTTCTATAATAATTGAATTGAATAATAAATAAATATATATAAAGGGGTATCTGAGATTTTACTTAGTCAAATTGTGTCAGCATATTCTATTCATAAAAATAGAAATAAATCATTGAAAAGTTTATTACAAAATAATGACAAAAATCAAATGAATCTGTTTAATGTTAAATATGTAATAAATGTTAACATATTTTTAGTTTGAAAATACATTTTGCATTTCGATCAATAGTATTCCATATGGAAACTTTAAAAAGCTGACATCGATTGGGGTTTTTTTTTTGGTAAACTTTGGAAAAGTAAACATTGTTGATAAGCATAAGAAAAGATGAACATAATTGGTTATGATAATAATTTAAATCATAACTGTTTAATTTTATATAACACATTTGTTCTTAGTTTTCATGTAAAGAATATGCTGATGTTGTATGTTTGGAAAAACCTCAGACATTTCGTATATCAAATATATCAATTGCATTATTACTATTATAAAAAAAATATATTAATATCGTTGAATTAGCGAAGAAGAACATGGTGTTAGTCTTCATATTGACGATTATTTTACCTTAATCTATTTTGGTATAATCTTTGTTGTTCTCTAGCATCTGTTTCTTTGTAATCTGTTTCAGTATCGCTGCTACTATCTTGCGAATAATTTAATCTTTCAGCTGGATTTGTCATTTCTGGCCAACTGTAACGAAGCTAACATAAATCATCAATTAAAGATTATTCAAATAAATACACAATAACTTGATAAGCTGGAAAAAAAAGAATAAAATTAAATAATTTTAGTAAAACACATATATATCATTATTGAAATACACATTATTAAATATTATTACTTTTTAATTAAAAAGTTCTTTATTTGTATGTAAAAAAAAAAAAACTTGGTGGTCATGCAATAAACTGCAAAAGAGGTGATAAAAATTAAAAATAAACTTTTGCCAACAAATATATGTGTGTGAATTTATAATCAACAAATTATTACACAATGTTACTACTACTCGAGTTGTAATACACTGTCATGAAAAATAACTCACAATTTAATAGTAGACAAATAACACTTCTGTAAGAGCCACCTCATCGACGTGCAAACTTCCCAACCGCAAAATTTATGGTCACTTTCAATTTGTCTTTTTATATGAACTTGCATTCCACAACGATAACGTGTTCGGGTGCAACGGTTGCCAGCTTAGTCAGGTCAAATTTCTGTTGACCAAGGTTAAGAATGAATAATTTACATTATCTGATTAATCGTATGGTTTTTGACGCAATGTACAAAGATCGTTTTAAATGTTGGCAATTTTTTTACCATTAAATGTAACGAATGATATCTGTCTAAAAAGAAAACCAAAAAAAAAACCAAATAAAACTGAAATGACGTTTCCAATGGTCGCTGACACCATGCAAAACATGTGACGTTAGTATGCACTCCTAGTTACATATTTATGCTTTCGTAATATCGAAATTTTCTTTTCCTTTTTATTACTTTCCTTTATTATTTTAAATGTATGATATGTAATTTTCGAATGATAGTACCTGTAGCATCGATTATGCTCAATTATACAACTCTTGTCTTATTTTTGTTTTATTTTTTAAATACGTAATGTTAATACAAATAAAAATCTTCCCGATTGAAAATATTTCAGAATAATCTTGCTCATATTTTCCTAGTGAAATAAACATAGGTTAACTGATATTAAGGTTGTTCACTACCTGTCATCTGAAACGTACGCGACTTCAGCGACATCACGAATAAAAGATGAACTAAGAGTACCACAAAGGAAGAACCAACCTCTTACCATGCGACTATAGAATCGATATATAAGATTATTAAATTATAACATATTATTTGCAATGTGGGATGTATATATATTAAATATAATATACATTATACCGAAACTAATATCGTATTCTAAAAAATAATTTAATAAACTATAAGAATTGACATAATTAAAAGTTAAAGTTATTAAATATTTGTAGAATTTATCAAAGAATGCACCTATTTGCTTGCATTAAATTACATACCAAGTATGAAATATTAGTAAAAATATTCATTATAAAAATCTTTAAAGTTGTCTAAATAAAACAGTAATTGTATTAGCAAATTCAATAAAGAGTAACATAAAAAATAACCCAGTTTTTATACCATTCTATGCAACGAAAAACTTTTTAAATTATTAAAATCAAAATGATAACGTTAGAAATAAAATTATTAAATAATTTAATACGTTTCTTTTTCGTTGATGTTGTCTCGTTGAAGGATAGAAGACGAATACGAGATATGTTACTACGTAACCTTAGTAGAGGAGATTTCGGGAGTGTCGAACGTTCGGCTATTATTCCTATGCTTCGGCTGTTTACGTTTTGTCGTCGACTCGAGAAATACCTGCAAATATAAATACACATTTATAATAGCCTGTATGTCGAGTGTATTGTTTTCTTATTCTTCCTCTCTCTCACACACACACTCCTCACTCACTCTCACTCTCTCTCACTCTTTTTGTAGTATTTCTATACGACAGATATATTTAAAAAAAAAGAAATAATGCTCATCTCGTGTACGTTAGAAAATTAATTGAAACAATTACCTGATATTAACGGGATAATAAAATCCGCTGCAACAAGTATACAGATGACAGATTTAAAAGTTCGAAAGATTCGCCATATTGCAGTGCATAAAGCAGGCGCGTAAGACTGGCGCGAAAATACTGCATGCGCGAAAATGATGCGCAGTAGATCTTCTTTCCACCTATWRTAAAGAAAAATTTTGAATGATTAAAAATACGATATAAGAGCATAAAAATTGTCAAAATATACTCAAAAAATCAAAATTGATCCTTTTATCCTTTATATATTATAGTAGGAAGATATAAACTTTACAAAATATCTTTTAATTACCTGAATTTAACAGGACGATGACACTCCGATGTGTTCTCCACGAATGACGCCATGAAACTGAAGATTTCGGACGAAAGCTTGGCTGTGATTGGCTAATTCAGTTTTTTGAACATGAAAAGGGTCATCACAGCTTCTTACACGGACAGAATCTGACCTTCTTCATGACCACGCTGGTCAAACTACATATGATAATTTATTTATTAAATAAATTAAAAATCATTTCTATTTTTCTAATAAATGTACACGTAACTTATAAATATTCTAAAAATAATGAATAGAATAAAGACAATGTAGACATTAAGAGATCTTTGTCGTTTTGCACAAAAGAACAAAATCATATAGAAGAGAATTGTCGATAGAAAAATGTCTAATATGAAATGCAGCATATGAAAGAATTAATTCCCAAAATCTGTATCGATAAAGAATCCTCACAATTGAAATACTTTCAGAGATGCATAATTGTTTTAAAAATATTCAYAATAACGTTTATACACGATTCCAAACGAAGATTATTCCACATGCTTTTCTATGCTATAAGATACTACATTCTCTTTATCTTATTCATTATTTTTAGAATAATTATGAATAATGTGTACATTTTATTTGTAATCGAAAAAAGAAACACAAATTTATAACATATCAAAATTGTTTTCTATTTAATNCTTTTTAAACTATTAAAATCAAAACGATAACGTTAGAAATAAAATTATTAAATAATTTAATACGTTCCTTTTTCGTTGATGTTGTCTCGTTGAAGGATAGAAGACGAATACGAGATACGTTACTACGTAACCTTGTTAGAGGAGACTTTCGGAGTGTCGAACGTTCGGCTATTATACCTATGTTATCGGCTGTTTACGTTTTGTCGTCGAAAATTCGACGAAGAAAATTCCTCGAGAAATTCCTGGAAATATAAACACACATTTATAATAACCTATATGTCGAGTGTATTGTTTTCTTATTCTTCCTCTCTCTCACACACTCCTTCTCTCTCACTCTTTCTGTAGTATTTCTATATGCTTATATGCTTATACTTAAAAAACATAATGCTTACYTCGACGTATATAGAGAAGATAAAAAAAGTTGCCACAAAGTTAAAAGGTTAGTGAATTCGTGTTGTATCTTTCCCCAAGCTCGAAAAACTAAAAGAAAGTAAAATATGAGAAAACTCGCGTATAAAAATCTTGAATATAACATTCGTTATATATCATTTAATATATAACAGGAAGGTGTACGTAAAAATATTAATTAAAACAATTACCTGAAATTAACGGGATAACAAAATCCACTGCAACAAGTATACCGATGATAGATGAAAAATTCGAAAGATTCGCCATATTGCAGTGCATAAAACAAGCGCATAAAACTGGCGCGAAAATACTGCATGCGCGAAAATGATGCGCAGTATATCTTCTTTCCATCTATAATAAAGAAATATTTTTGAATGATTAAAAATACGATATAGAAGCATAAAAATTGTCAAAATATACTCAAAAAATCAAAATTGATCCTTATATCCTTTATATATTATAATAGAAAGGTGTAAACCTTACAAAATATCTATTAATTACCTGATCTTAACGGGACGATGACACTCCGATGTGTTCTCCACGAAAGACGCCATGAAACTGAAGAATTCGGACGAAAGCTTGGCCGTGATTGGCTAATTCATTTTTTTGATCATGAAAAGGGTCATCACGGCTTCTTACACGGACAGAATCTGACCTTCCTCATGACCACGCTGGTCAAACTACATATGATAATTTATTTATTAAATAAATTAAAAATCATTTCTATTTTTCTAATAATTGTATACGTAACTTATAAATATTCTAAAAATAATGAATAGAATAAAGACAATGTCGACATTAAGAGATCTCTGTCGTTTTGCACAAAAGAACAAACTCGTATGGAAGAGAATTGTCGATATAAAAATGTCTAATATAAAATGCAGCATATGAAAGAATAAATTCCCAAAATATGTATCGATAAAGAATCCTCACAATTTAAATACCTTCAGAAATGCATAAGATGTGCATTGTTTCTAAAATATTTACAATAACGTTTATACACGATTCACACGAAGATCATTCTACATGATTTTCTAGTCTATAAGATCCTACATTCTCTTTATTCTATTCATTATTTTTAGAATAATTACAAAAAACGTGTACATTTAATTTGTAATCGAAAAAAGAAACATAAATTTATAACATATCAAAATTATTTTCTATTTAATGTACCTTAAATCCTATGAAATATTTAAACCAATGTATATGCATAGAAACAATCTGAAATGTAATTACAGTATATTAGAATGATAGAATAATTGTTAAATAATTAATATAAGTGCATATTGTTATATAATAACTTATTACATATGATCTATGTACCTTTCTCTTCAAGATTCACTTTTTAACTGAGGCATTATCCTCTATGAAAATGCTTTTATTCAATGTTGGTTGTTATTTTCCAAATGTTGCCCATGTATGTAACAAAATAAAACATTCCAAGTAAACAGAGATACACTTTATAACTCTCTAATTTTTTCATTCTTATCACTTTTATGTAATTACTATTTTTATTAAATGCACATGTAACTTGTAATCATTATAAACATAATGAATATAATAAAAAGAATGCAGAATAAAAACATTATCTCATTGCATAAGAGAAAACAATCATGTAGAAGAGAAACGATGTCRAAGAAATTTGTAAAACAATTGACAATATATCGATTGCCACCCGTAAAAAAATRAATCTCTACCATAAAGGCGTATTTTTACGTTATCGATACAAATAATAGGAACTTTTATACTGTTGGCAAGCGATAGATTGTCAATTGTTTTACAAATTTCTTTGAAAAAGTTTCTCATCTACATGATTATTTTCTCGTATGCAACGAGATAATGTTCTTGTTATGTATTCTTTTGTTATTTTATTCATTATTTTTATATTGTTTATAATTAAAGTGTGTAAAGTATTGTGTATAGTGAAAAGAGTGTAAAAATAAGAGAATTATAATCTGAAATTCTGTTTATTTCGAATGTTATTTGCGTTGCATACATGGGCAAATTTGGAAAATAACCTAAACAACATTAAAATAAAAGTATTTTTATAGAAGATAATGCCTCAGTTAAAAGGTGAATCTTGAAGGGAAAGGTACATAGATCATATGTAATAAGTTATTAGATAACAATATGCACTTATATTAATTATTTAACAATTATTTTATCATTCTAATGAACGGCTCAGTCTATAAATAAATTTCGAAAAAGAAGGAACTCCGAAAATATATTTCACACTTTTAAACAATNATTTCATATTAGACATTTTTCTATCGACAATTCTCTTCTATACGATTGTATTCTTTTATGCAAAACGACAAAGATCTCTTAATGTCTACATTGTCTTTATTCTATTCATTAWTTTTAGAATATTTATAAGTATTGTGTACATTTATTAGAAAAATAGAAATGATTTTTAATTTATTTAATAAATAAATTATCATATGTAGTTTGACCAGCGTGGTCATGAGGAAGGTCAGATTCTGTCCGTGTAAGAAGCCGTGATGACCCTTTTCATGATCAAAAAAATGAATTAGCCAATCACGGCCAAGCTTTCGTTCGAATTCTTCAGTTTCATGGCGTCTTTCGTGGAGAACACATCGGAGTGTCATCGTCCCGTTAAGATCAGGTAATTAATAGATATTTTGTAAGGTTTACACCTTYCTATTATAATATATAAAGGATAWAAGGATCAATTTKGATTTTTTGAGTATATTTTGACAATTTTTATGCTTCTATATCGTATTTTTAATCATTCGAAATTTGTTTTTATTATAGGTGGAAAGAAAATCTACTGCGCATCATTTTCGCGCATGCAGTATTTTCGCGCCWGTTTTACGCGCCTGTTTTATGCACWKCAATATGGCGAATCTTTCGAATTTTTCATCTATCATCGGTATACTTGTTGCAGTGGATTTTGTTATCCCGTTAATATCAGGTAATTGATTTGATTAATTATCTAACGTACACCTTCCTCTTATATATCATGTTATATATCATGTTATATATAACGAATTTTATATACCAAATGATAGTTACATGCAAGATTTTAATATGTGAGTGTTTTCATATTTCACTTTTTTTTTTAGCTTTCTAAGCATGGGGAGAGTTGCACCACGAATTCACATATCTAACGTTTTAACCTTGTGACAAGTTTTTTTATCTTCTCTATATACGTCGAG